TACACTCTAAATAAAATAGGTGGTCTACTGAACTACCAAAAAAGGTTTCGTCGTGACGAAAAAGTCTCCAAATATGTTCAAAGTTTGAAAAACACAATAAAAAAATCTACGAAACCATTAAAGGATCTTCCCGTGTGTCGGGGGGCGGAACCTTTACCTACGAAACCTTTTTTCAAGTTCAGGACACCAAAAAAAGGTTTCGAAGTAAAATACGAAACCTTTAGAGTTTCATTTGAAATCCTAATAGTTTCGTACTAAACCCTAATGTTCTTGTGTAGTTTAATACAAAACCATAAAAGTTTCGTATTTTACTACGAAACCTTTTTTTGGTGTCCTGAACTTGAAAAAAGGTTTCGTAGGTAAAGGTTCCGCCCCCCGACACACGGGAAGATCCTTTAATGGTTTCGTAGATTTTTTTATTGTGTTTTTCAAACTTTGAACATATTTGGAGACTTTTTCGTCACGACGAAACCTTTTTTGGTAGTTCAGTAGACCACCTATTTTATTTAGAGTGTACTCTTCGTCGATATGGTTCAAAGATTGAATGCAGTCGGAGTGAGGGGATTCATTCTATGCTACTCACTACGACTTGTCCTTAGTTTCAACATTGATACTAGTAGCTAAGCTAAAGCATCACTTTCGCTACTTTGAGACCAGCACTCTCATTGTAGTCAGATTTCTCTCTTGCTGTAAAAACGAAAAGAATTTACACGTCTCAGGTAAACAACGCTGATGACACGCAAGAGAGCCGAGAAACTCGGAAGAATGGTGCTGAAACATCAAATCAGCAGGATTCGAAAAGATTCTTTTGCTTGTACTATCCTTTATCACCCAATAGTACATGTTCAGATTGTTCACACCTGCTTGGAACGAATATGACAAACATTGAAGAACATCTTAAAAGCCATGATATCATTTTTTTTGCACATATATGTGGTGTGTGCCACAAACCTTGGCCTAGTTGGCGTTCAGCAATAGCACATTATAGTAGATCTAACTGTCGCCACTCTACTTCTGCCACACCATCATTTCTTACCACAGATCCTCCATCACCAACAAATGTCATCAATTAATCAACAACAAGCATCGAATAGCTACAAGATACAACAACTAAAAAGGACTCAGCTGTTAACGAGGAATCTGAGGCTGAGAAACTAATTCAAACAATAGGTGATCAATCGTCAGACGAAATGACACAACAATTAGGAAATGACGGAAACACTCATTCACCATCTGTCATTCCGAAAACACAAAAGATCGCTGACGTACAAAATATTGATACACCTGTTAATGATGGAAAACAAAGTGATGATGAACAAGATAATGGAGATCATGGTATCAGTAATAATACCAGGAAAGAAAATAATGTGGAAATGAAGGAGACAGATAAGAAATACTACTGTGAATTCTGTGCGTCTGGCGGATTTAATAAAAAGGTGGGCCTTTCACAGCATATGACACATAGGCAACTTAACGAGTATAATGCCACTATTGAAGTTCCGATGAAAACGCGATTGTGGACTCGCGATGATATGTTGATATTAGCAGGGCTTGAAGCTAATCCCACCTTCATAGAGACGATAAATTCGAATTCAGCTCTTGCGTTGAAATTGCCATCAAGATCACGAGAAGCCACAAAGAAACGTCGACAAAACGACAGAATACAAGACGCTGCTACAACAGGTACGTGAAAGTAAAGCAACAAAAACCGTAGAAGAGTTTAATGATTCCGAAGAATCAACAATTGTAAATTCACTTACTATCGCGAATGATAGTATAAATGTAAATAATGATTCCGGTAATCACAGCTCTAATGACAGATCTCAAGGTACTCAAATAGGAACTAGTAATGAATCTTATCCCGATATTCGTCAGTATATAAAAACCAATATCGTGAAGGGAAGAATTCGATTATGTCAAACAATGTGGGACGCTATGACGCATTATGTCAATGACGTGCCAAATTCTGATCCAGTCAATGAGTCACTGATTGGAATACATCAAGCGACGAATAGTGTTCAATCGTCTCAATCACACAAGGACGATAGACAAACAATTGAGAGCAAACTACGCAGCGCAACATCAATTCCAAAAGCTCAGATATATGCGCATCATCAACGTTTATTTAAAAAGAACAAATCGAAGTTAGCGTCAGAAATCTTCGGCGGTGTTGATAATTCTGCACTCAAACCACGTATGTCCGTAGCTTACGAACATTATCGAAACATCTGGACAATTGATACTAAGGATGCTGTTTTATTTAAACCACAAGCCTCGGTAGGATTCGACGTTCTTCTTGCACCAACAACCCGCGAGGAGATTGCCTTGGCAATAGAACACACAAAGAATGATACAGCCCTAGGTCCAGATCGACTGTCACTAACAGATATTAAACGTATAGCGAAGAAAGAGCTATGGTGTGCATATAACATCTGGCTTGGTTACAGGCGAATACCCGATTCGCTTAAAATCAACCGGACTGTTCTTCTGCCGAAGGGAAAGGACAATCTAGATAACATCAAAAACTGGCGTCCGATCACCATAGCATCGCCACTACTTCGATTATATAATAAGATATTAGCGCGTCGCATGCAGAATGTATTTCGCACCAATTCAAAGCAAAAAGGTTTTAAACCATTGAATGGTGTTGGTCAGAATGTAGCTCTCCTTCACAATCTATTAAGACATGCACGTACCAACAAGAATAATCTTTTTGTGTGTCTACTAGATGTGAGCAAGGCTTTTGATTCAGTACCTCACGAATGAATTAAACGTGCGTTACTGAAACACGGATGTCCATCCGAATTCGTCGATCTAATTGATAACCAATATGAGAACTCGTATACAGCACTATCGTATGCGGATAGAAGTTCACGCTTAATAGCATTAAGAAGAGGAGTAAAACAAGATGATCCTATGCCATCAATCCTGTTTAATCTTGTCATCGATGAACTCTTCGAGATAATAGGAGATCGCTTTGGATATGAACTCGAAGGTGTGGGCAAAGTCAATGCTCGCGCTTTCGCTGACGACATTGCACTAGTGTCCGGGACTGAACTAGGCATGCAGCAACTTCTTTCGGAAACGGAAAAGTTTCTAACTGCTCGGGGTCTTGAGCTTAACACAGGCAAGTGTATATCGATATGTCTTTGGAAAGCGGGTAAGGTCAAAAAGTCTCAAATCGTGGACTCATCCGTAACAAATCCACCAAAGTTCACGGTTAAAAATAAACCTATCCAATTGCTTGGAGTCGATAAGTTTTGTCGTTACCTAGGAGTTCAATTTACACCACTCGGAGCAGTCGATCCAAGAGTATCAGTGTCTGAACTAAAATCACCATTGACGTCTCTTGCCAAAGCCCCGTTGAAACCACAACAAAAAGTAGTTATACTTCGTACATATCTCATTTCTCGATTCATCTTTGCATTTACGCATACGGAATGTTATCCGAAGCTAATGAGGCAACAAGATCGGCTCATTAGACGTTGGCTGAAAGAGACACTTAAACTGCCTCCATCAGTATGTAGTGACTTCTTTTATCTTCCAGTTAAAGAAGGAGGCTTGGGTATTAGGAAACTATATGACATAATAGGAATTGCTAAGATACGTCTTTATAGTTCGTTTTTTCGAGCCGGTGACGAATGTCTACGCTTTCTTGTTGAAACTCAGGGTTCCACTATGCATTCTCGTTGGTGCAATGCTATGAAGCTTAGCGACCGCCCATCAGCCGCTGACATCAATCAAAGCAATGTTCTCTTGATCAATGAAAGTCGAATACGACTAGCGGAAACAGTGCACGGCAGTGTTAGTACAGTGTTTCGTGAAAGTCCAATAACCAATCAATGGTTATCTGGGTGCACACGTATAATAAAAGGTCGTACGTACATCAAAGCAATACAAATGCGTACAAATACAATACCTACTAGAGTATCTACTACTCGAGGTCAAAACACTAATAAAGCTTGTCGCCGCTGTGGTCTTGCAGATGAAACCTTAATTCATATTCTACAGTCATGTCCCCTCACACAGGGTACGAGATGTCGAAGACATAATGATGATTGTCGAAAGGTATCAGATAAATATTCAAAGCAGAAAGGTTTTAAACCACTGAATGGTGTTGGTCAGAATGTAGCTCTCCTTCACAATCTATTAAGACATGCGCGTACCAACAAGAATAATCTTTTTGTGCGTCTACTAGACGTGAGCAAGGCCTTTGATTCAGTATCTCATGACTCTAGGATGGGTGTGGTGTAGAAATGAATAGAATACCCACACCTACATCCGGTAAAATATGGTTACAATCGATAAAGTAATACACAGGCCGTTTAACGCGCCGCTTTCGATGGTCGGAATGATCGTCCTGGGTTATAATTTTAAAACGAACTCAACCAAAATGAACTATAAAAAATGTAGCTATCAATGCAATGATTAAATAAATATTTTTTTTTGAACAAGAAACTTGTGAATCTTCTCTTTTGTTTGTTTTTTTTTTGTTTTTTTTCTTTGTTTTATATTTGAATAAACGAAATAATGATAATGCCTTTAAAGCAAAACCAACTTTCTTATATCAGATATAAGAGATATTTTATTACAATTTTAACTTCCACGTAAAAACTTCACTTTATAAAAAAAACAAAAAAAAATAAACGAAAACTAAATAGAGATTAATCTTGTTCTTTTCAGTTTGCATTAATAAAGAATAGCATACTAATTTTAGTCATTGCTAACGAGATACAATGATAAAAACTACTCATGAATGATAACTCTGCGAATGTATACTGAGAAAACTCTCGCACAAAAAATAAAAAACCGGAATAGAGTTGAGTGAATATGTATAAAACCATTTGCTTTTCTGTTTATTCTTTCTATATAAAAAGTAGTCTTCGATAGGTGTGGGTGAGAGTAATGAAAGACAACATCCGCACTCTCAAAATACAGGACATGCTCTATGGTAGAAAAGAACTAGCTATAGTACATTCAATCGTATATCTGCAACTGAGAAAATATAAACAAAAAATGAAATGATAGAAGGTTTAGAACGATATACTGCAGGCTAAGTCTCTTTTGTACTTTGGTAAATTTCCTTTAAAGTGTAGATTATTGTTTCTGTATAGAAATTTTTATTAGCAAAAAAATCTTACAAGAAATTAAATCAGTTAGTAAAATGCAACAATTGTTCTTTTATGAATGATTATGTTTCAAGCTACAAATAATCTATCGTGATAAATTTTTTTTTACAATGATTTATATATTTCTGCAGTATTCGTGCTTCCGAGCTCATAGCCGCCTGAAACTAAGATTGTTCCGTCTAATAATACAGATGCAGTGTGATCACTTCGACGATGGTTCATGCTTGCAATAGTTGTCCAACTTTCTGTTAGTGGATCATACAATTCAACACTATTAAGAGAATTGGATAAATATCCACCTAAGATTAATACTTTTCCATTTGGTAATACGGATGCTGTATGATCAAATCGTCCATCCTTCATACTACTAATAGCAGTCCATGTTTCTGTATTTGGGTCATATAACTCAACAGTATTTGAAGGGCCATCTTGTGTTCCACCAGTAACTAATACTTTTCCACTTGCTAATGCAGATGCTGTATGGCGTTCTCGTCCACCTGTCATATTACCAGTATAAGTCCATATTTCTCTTACAGGATCATATAACTCTGCAGTGTGTTCATTAGGATGTTTACCTCCACCAGCAACTAAAACTCTTCCGTCTCTTAACACGGTTGCTGTATGATGTTCTCGTCCAATATTCATGGTACTAGTATTTGTCCATGTCTCTGTTGATGGATCATACAATTCAGCAGTATCTAGATGTCGATCACCATAAAAGCCACCTGTTACTAATACTTTGCCATTCGGTAGGACAGTTGCTGTATGTTCAGCTCGTGCATACTGCGTTGAATCAGTAACTGTCCAATTACCTGTTGATGGATCATATAATTCACTTTCCGTTATATAACCATGAGAAGATTCTCCACCTACAACTAATACTTTTCCATTTGTTAATACAGATGCTGTGTGAAGTTCTCGTTCAATAAGCATACGACCCGTAAGTGTCCATTTGCCTGTTGATGGATCATATAACTCTGTACTACTTAGTTGATACTGACTTCCTAAACCACCACTCACTAACACTTTTCCATCGTTTAAGACAGATGCTGCATGTCGATATCGTGTAGTAGTCAGGTTACCAGTATTATGCCATACTAGATGGGAAATAAAAGAAAAACAATAGTTCCGATAAATGTTTCTCTATGTATAATTAAACATTTTTTTTTTCGATAAAAACTTGTTGATGTGTATTGAATGCAACCTTAGTATTATATATCCGTTGCCAACTGTACTCAACTCGACAATTCAATACAGATCTATTTAATATTATTGATGTATAGATTATCATGAGATAAAAATAGACCGACAGGCTCTCAGTTATTAATTCATTAGATGGGAAAGTAGCATATCAAGAGTTGAAGAGTGATATTGTAAAACCTACCTAACTGTTGAGTGGTTGTTGTAGTTATTGTTGTTGTCGTTGTTGAGTATACTTCTGTTGTTAATGATGATGATGTAGATGTTGTAGTAGTAGTAGTCGTAGTTTCAGACTTTTCTGGTGCAAAAACAACAAATTTTAATATCAGCGATAGGGTAATTATAGCGATCACTAGGACAAGAATAGATATACCGAGTTTAAATCGACGATTCTGCCACCATTGATATCTCTTCAATTGTGTAACAGTACTGTCGCTGAATGTTGAATTACGATGCATGCTGTGCCTTACCAAAAGCCTTTAACTTAAAAACTACAATATAAGGTATTATTCTGTTATTCTCATTCTCTAGTAAATAAAGATAAAAGATATTATTTCGAGCACACACAGTCATGCTTTGTCATATGATAAGAAAGTATGTTGTAGATGCACATGTTTGATAATGCAAAATCGTTCTTTTTTTGTTCGTATCAACAACTAGGGTGTGGGTGAGAGAGATACATTTATTCTAAACCACATTTACGCACACATCCACGCCCATCCAAATCCCCGCCGCCACCCACACCCTAGAAAGAGTGTATTTATTCTGGTATAGATCTTAGTTAATTTAGCACTCGTCTCATAGTTCAAGTCTAATCTCAAAATGAACTTCTCTATTCTATATTATATGAAAAAAATGACTTCAACGAATGTGCATCTAGTTTTGCCTCATATTTGCTTAAATTAATGTATATGTATGATAGAAAGATCACATTGCTCGTTGAACTTATAACTTCTTTAGACAAAACTGACGAGACAAAGTTTATAATATCATTATCACAAAAAATAGATGTAATTTCGTCGAGTATTGTAATTCATTTGGGATATATATATATAAAACATAATCAAACAGAACAATAAGAAAGATACAGAATTGAGTATAAATTGTAATAAACGTTTTTCTTTCATTCAAGATATAATTTATCTAGGTAGAGTTTGTTTTCATTTATAAGAAGAAAAAAATAATTAACGTTACATTTTATTTACATTATCGAAAAGTTTCACTATTAAATCTGATTTATTTTTTCATATTGAAGTTTTATTGAATGAATTAAAGTTGATTTTATAATTAGTTAAAATGTCGAGATAGAAGCTTTTTTGTATGTAAATAATGAAATGATTGATTATTTTTGTAGATACAAATGACGAGAAACTGTCGATATCTTGATATTCTTTTACATGCACACAGAAATAAATACGAACATCCAAAAGAAAAATTGATTCTTTTTGTTAAGTGGCACTGGTGAGTGAATTCATCAGCGCAATAGACATCTTTGATGTAGCCGTATTATATATAGAATTTAAAGGATAAACTAAAAACTTGTTTTACTCAGAATTTTTATTAAATCATCATGTCTTTTCGTAAGGAAAAATACAATGTACGTATAGTTCAGTTGTAACACAGGAAAGAACAACAAATTCACACGATTTATAACATCATTATCTTTAAACATCTTAAAAAAATGGTATGTCTCAACTTCTTTCTTTCTCTTATCGTATGGTTGAAATATGCACACACACACACACGTTGCATTTTTTATTAAATATATTAAGTTAATTTTTTTCTCATTCATTTTCTCGTTGGTGTTCATTATTATCATCATAATCATAAAAAAAAAATATTGCTTTTCAAACAATTCAATACAACATGTTCAAATAGAAACTTATTCAACTTAATAAAAATATATACAAAGAAATCATGACACGTACTTTAAATCTATTATATTCTATTTCAAGTTTATTTTTTTTCTGTCAACAATACTATACACAATAACTTTTGATCAAATAAAAAACAAATCTTTTTTCTCTATTCAATTTATATTCTTCATTAGATAAGAAAGACACATTGTCTGAAGTGTTTTCGAGCTATTGTTACTTCCTCGTCAGTTTTGCACATTTTCAGACAACAAAAACTCATAAAAAAATCTATATTCATTCTTGTGGATAATTATCTATTCAAGAGAGAAAGAAGGAAATTGAACATGTGTCAAATGATGATATTACAATAGTTCTTAAGTCAGATGTTGGATGTATTTCTATTAAGAAATGACATTCATTTGATTTAGTTTGTATAAGGATTAGTTTGCTAACAATATTAAACAGTAAAATCATAGAACTATTGTTATCATCTTATTTACATGTAATCAACATACATACAAGAATAGAAGCAAATGTAAAAATATATTATCATGATGTCATTCGAGAAAATTGTCTGTATGTATAAATATCAAATTAGTACATTATGTGTGAGAGAAAAAATCAGATTAATATTAAAGTAGATAATCAATCGAGATAGAATATAGTTCAAACGATAAGATTTGTAGTTGAAAAAGAGAGAAAATGAGAGAGATACAATATATTTAGTCGGATTTTATAGTTACAATTAATAATGAAAATAGAATTCTGTCGATTAGATTGGTTGATAGACTTCAATATGGTTGAAATTATTTATATGTCCTTGGTGTGATCTTAATATGATAAGGAAAAGCAAGTGAAAGAAGACTTCCTATTCTCTTCTTCCGTTTTTTAGTTCGAGGATAATACAGACAATTGAATGAAACAACCCCTAATCAAATTTTTCCGTCACTCATCTAATATTATTTAGAAAAAAATAAAACAAAATAGAAGATAACGACAAAGGAAGAAAATAGAAAATTAATATTTTCCGGTATAAAAAGAATAGAACGACATTATTTCCTCAAGTATAAAACATGAAGAAAATGACATATATATATCTAGTTTCTTGAAAATCTTGTTTATTTTAGTTAACAACAGTAATGTGATATAAACAGAAGGAAAAATGCCATTGGCTGCTCTTACACCTGTATTAAATGATTTGCTTCATAGAGGAGGTGGTAGTTCAACATCTAATCAACAAGATCAATCTACACAACAATTATCTATTTCAAATGATTCATCAGGTCCAAGTGAATACCTGTGTAAAAGCTCTAATGTTGATAAATCAGTTACTGCTACCAATCCATTATCATCAACATCATCATCTGTCGATGATGTGAGTATTAAATAATTACATTTATTCTCCGAACTACGGCGGATACATAAGTCATTTATTCGTAAATAAATGGATGTTATGTCGACAATTAAGTCCGAAGAATTGAGGAAAGAATAAGATTGATAGAAAAAGAAAGAACTATTGTTTTTCTTTTCTATTTTTTTCTCTTCACATCATGACATTAGTTCCATTGCTTTTCTTATAATTAAGTGCGATGAACAGATAGAGCGAGTTCGGTAACAAATCAACGAATACTTACCAACTTGATTAATTGGTTAAAAAAAGGTTATTACCAATGAGTCGAAATCAGGTGTATGGTGAAGATCCTTTAATTGCTTATTTTAGACCATTTATCGGTTAGTATATGTTTTTTTTTAATATATATTTTTCTTTTAACAGAATTCTCATTCAAATCCAACAATAAAAATCCAAAGAAGCAAAAGTTCTTTAAAACGAGAAGATTCATTTTTACAAAAATTTTCGAATCGTTATGGTTATCGAGGATTAGGATCGATGGGTATACTCTTTTTTTTTAAATAATATATTTGTTTTTTATTATATAAATACAAAAATATATTCCTTACTTTTTATTCTTCAAGCACAATCAAAACGAAATCGTCGATTAAATATTGAAAAAGATGCACCAATTAAATCTCGTTATTCAGTGGTTCGTCGGCTCTTACATTTTTTTAATTATCTTGTTATATCACCAGATGAATCATTTTTATTTTATTGGTTAATTATATTAAATATATTTGTATTATATAATCTTTGGTTTCCAATTGCACGTCAAGCATTTGAACCATTACAAAGAGATTATGTACATATATGGAAAATAATTGATTCTTCAGCTGATACAATTTATTTTCTCGATGTTGCTATTCAATTTCGAACCGGTTATTTACAACAAGGTAGAATAAATTGGATACGTTTTTTATATTTAATATGTTTATCATATTTTTTTTTAGGATTACTTGTTTATAATCATTATAAATTAGCATTAAATTATATTCGTTCATCTCGTTTTATTTTTGATATGATAGCATTAACACCGTTAGATTTATTACAAATAAAATTTGGTTCAATTCCAATTCTTCGATTTCCTCGTTTTCTAAAAGTATATCGAACATTTCAGTTATATTATTTGCAAGAATCACGTACTGTTTATCCAAATACATATCGTGTTCTAAATCTATTTCATATACTTTTATTATTGGGACATTGGTTAGCCTCGTTTTATTTTATGGTTTCAAAAGCTGAAGGTTTTGTTGGATATTGGTCATATCCAAAACCTGTAGGAAATTTTTCTCAATTAGCTAAAATGTATCTTCGTTGTCTTTATTGGTCAACATTAACATTAACAACCATAGGAGATTTACCACCACCAGAAACTAATTGGCAGTGAGTAGATTTTATTTTATTTTTTGATTCCTCTATATCGATTAGTAGATATGAATAAAGAGTTAATTAGAAGAAAAAAAAATTAATCAGTTTGTTACTCTTTTTTTTCTTGTTCTATTTTTTTTCTTGAAAGCTAGATGGCTCAAAAATTTTACGAACAAACGGTATGTTTATATTCATTTTTTATATTCTAATCAATGCTTTGAGATCAATTTTTAGTTACGCTTTTTTAATAAGCGTCCATTTGTTCTCCGTTTTTGTCATAGCTATCATTGTGGGTAAGCAGTAATAAAAATCATTAGAATGCTTATATATTTAGAAAGATTTATTTTCAAATAAAATAAAAAAATTTAAATTTTTTGAAGAAGAATATAATCAGATACACATCGCATTGTCTATTTCTTTTTGAGGGCTGTTTTTGCTATTACCAGTTATATGGTTGGAATATTTGTTTTCTCATCCATTCTAGGTAAATTTCAAATACTAAAATTTAAAAAAAAAGCGGCACGGTGTATATTTTTGTTTTTGTATTAGGACAAGTTGGTAATGTTATTGCAAATCGAAATGCTAGTCGTTTAGAATTTGAACGTTTATTGGTTTGAATTGTATAGATAGATAATGAATTATAAATATGATTTTATATAGGATAGTGCAAAACAATATATGCGTACACATAATGTTCCACCTGAAATGCAACGACGTGTTCAACGTTGGTATGATTATTCATGGTCACGTGGTCGAATGTCGGGTGCTGGTGATGTTCATTCAATCAAACTTTTACCTGATAAACTTAAAACTGAATTAGCGCTACATGTTAATTTAGGAACCTTAAAAAAGGTAACTATATTTCAAGAATGTCAACCTGAATTTCTACATGATCTTGTTCTTAAAATGCGTGCTTATATTTTTACACCGGGTGATATAATTTGTCGTAAAGGTGAAGTAGCGCGTGAAATGTTTATTATAGCCGATGGCGTTCTTGAAGTAGTCAAGTAAGAACAAAATTACACGTATAGATAATATACTAATTTAATAATAAATATTTAGTGAAAAAAATGATGTATTAACACGTATGGGTGCGGGAGATTTTTTTGGTGAAATTGGTATATTAAATATTGATGGTGCTAATCGACGAACAGCTGATGTACGAAGTGTTGGATATTCCGAATTATTTTCTTTATCAAAAGAAGATGTATTGGAAGGTTGTCGTGATTATCCTGAAGCTGAACGTAAATTATATGAATATGCACAAAATAGACTTGATGTTGAACGAGCAAAAAAAGAAGCAGCAGCAGCAGAAAAAATGAAGGGTGCTGTTAATACATTAACATCGATTGCATCATGTTTAACACATAATCCAATAACAACAGCAGAAACAACGATGCCTGTTATTATAAAAAAGTTCGTTGTTTTAGTTTTAATCCTATGAATATTTAATTATTTGTTTTAATAGAAATTCACTGAAAGAGAATGATGATAAAGATAAGAAAGAAGTATCGGAATCAGCACCATTAACTCAAATTAATCGAAAGACAACTATAACAGATCGAACAAGGTAAAAATGATAAAATTATTAAATTTTTGTTTTTTTTTCATTATTGCTTATTAGACTAAAATCGAAATATTCAAACACAAGTATAAATAATCTAAACTGTGATAATAAAGAAAAACTTCTTTGTAATCCATGTCCAACTCCAGAAAACTCATTTTTAATGCCTTCATCACATTTATATTCAACAGATTTGATGAATAGTATTCAATTACTTGTTAATAGCAAATTGGTAATACTTCAACCATATTTTTCTTTTATATTTTCAAGATTTTTGTTTTTTTTCATTGAAGAATATGATAGAAAAAAGTTATCACGATCAAGTAGCTGAATTACAAGATGAAAATCAACGTAAAGATTTACGAATTAAATTATTAGAACAAAAATTACAGAAATTACAGGTTTTTATTAGAATTATTTTAGTTTCAAAAAACAAATATAGAAACCAAATTTCTTTTAGAAAACTTTACTTCATCGTAATCGAATATGGTTTGAAGAGGAATAATAATATATATATATATCTATTCTGAAACAAATACAAAATATTTTCGAGTTTATTAATTTGTCCATTTGAACACGTGTTTTTTTCTTTTACTTGTTATACATGTTCAAATAAATTTCAATAAAAACTTATCTGAATCGATATATACTATAATTTAGTCAAAAGAAAAGTAATATCATTTTATAATTAACATCTAGTTTTTCATATCTCTAGTGATAATTGTGTATATTAATTAATTTATGATGATATATATATAGGAGAGTAAAGGAATCGACATTTCCTAACACGATTATAAATGTATTAATCTACGCATGGAAACTCTTTTTTATCTGTTATAAGAAAAGTAAATTAAAATATATGTCGCACTTTTTCTATTAAAGAAAATGTCTGTTTTTTTCTATTCCTAATGGAATTCGACGTCTTTAATCACGACTATTGCTTACATCTTTCTTTGCATGTTTTTTAATAAGATTTTCTATTAAACTTGAGTAGCTAAAAATACTAATAGTTTAGTTTTTCTTATTATATTTTCGAAATATTAACTATAAAAGTATAACCAAGCGTAAATTGACGTAGACATTATGTTTCCGTCGATGATCTTTGTCGTTATAATATGAACAATAAGAAAAAATTAATAATTAACATCATTTATACTGTCATGGTTAAGATTTTTCAAGGTTCTAAGAACGCGCTATATATTATAATAAATACAGTGTGTAAACTAATGACATCTATCATATATATTTTTGATTAACTTGAAAAATGAAATTTTTAAACTGATCACCATTCTTGAATAATGCTGCAGTGGTATCTTAGGAATTATAATATACTTGAACAATATTTACAACCAATTATATATCATATTTTTGTTTGTCAGTTTTTTTCTGTGACTATTAATGATGAGTGTAGGTTTTTTGCCATTTTTTTTTCTTCTTCTTCTTTCTATTATTATTTGTTTGCTTAGCAGAGCAAAATGAAAGAAGCGGAGAAAGAATGAAAGAAAAAGGTGCAGAGGCGTTGACATTGTCGCTTTTATTATAACTTTTCCATAAAGTTCTTCGTCATATTTCCATAATTGTAACAAAAATATTTTAGATAGTTATAAATCAATTAATTTCTTAGATTTCTTTGTAGAATGATATTATATTCAAGAAAATATAACGTGTTAATTAAGTAATATGTTTAACACATTTGCTAACGTATTTAGTGTCGATGAAAACAATACAAAAAAAATGGAGAGTAACAATCCATTCGATGATTTACCCTCGTCAACATCAACAACAGATCCTTTTGGAATATCATTAAATACTATGAAATTATCGGAATCATCAGAAAAATTTGATGATAATCCATTTCTTATTAGTACAAATAATGATAAATCTGTTCGACCTCGAAGTGGCAAAGAAGCATTATCATCATCAAATTGGCTGGCTTATCAACATTCAATGGATGAAGCTAATTTAGATCAAGTAGATGATTTTCAAGATAAATCATTTATAACAGAATCAAATAGTACGAATAATTTCAATCCATTTGATATTTCCACAATATCAAATACTGATCAATCAAATGGAACAATATTTCAATCTTCTCCAATGGATTTTTTATTTGATGTTAATACTGACTCAAATCAAGTGTCAACAACAACAACAACAACAACAAATTCCAATCAATTATCTTATGATTTTCTTGATTTTAATCCAGCAGATACATCAATATCAACGAAAACCGAAAATGTTAATAATTTAACTGATATACCAAAAATCGAATCAACTACAACATCTTCATCAGCTCAATTAACATCTTCAAATGAAATAAATACTACACAAGAACCAGTATCAACAGGTACATATGATGATCAATTTCTTGGTTGGTTAACACAAACTGCAGATTCAATAAGTGGTACTGATTTAAAACAGAATAAAGTTACTGAAGATTTTGGAAATATTTATCCACAATTACCAACACAACGTATGTCTAATAAATTTTTTTATATTTTTTTAATTTATAATTTTTTCTTTCAGAAGTAAATGATCAAGAAAATAATCCATCGTCATCATCATCGGATGTTTTTTCTAAACAAGCCATTTCTCGTCCATCGGTTGAAGAAATACCATCAATTCGTATACATGAACCAAAAATTGGACATAATGATAGTAATATTGTTCCACAAGGATATTTCAATAAAGAAACTAAAAATCAATCTGATGATGATTCAGATGATGAAAAAAAAATGGTTTTTAAAATTGGAGAAAAAAAACATAATGTATTAAATTCTGATACAAATATACCTCTACCATTATTACCTCCACCACCATCACCATCATCATCAAAAAATTATCAAAAAAGTAATAAGGATGCTAGTTCATCATCTTCAGATTCCGATCAAGATGATCCACTTGCTATGTTTCGAACAAAAACTACTAAAAATAAAACCGATGAACAATATGGACAAAATCTAATTACAGATTGGGATGAAGAAACAAAAGTACAAGAACGGGTATGCTTAATGTTCGTACATGTATATATATTGTTGTCTTGTATGTACTACAAATCTATTGGTAATATTTAGACAAGAAAAAAACAAACTTTGTTTATTCATTATTTATTTTAATTCTAGCAAGAAAAAGTTCAATCACCACCATTAGATTATTATTTACATGAACCAGATTATGATGATAGTGCACCATTAGAAGCCTATCATAATGATATAAATGAACTACAATTACAGCAACTTAATGGATGGTCATTACAAATTCGTCTACCATTAAGACAAAAAGATTTATATAAAAGTACTTTTCAAAGATTTAGTGAAACACGTAAGAAATATTTTATATATAAATTATAATCGTTAATAAAATATTTCATTTTTAGGTACTTGGCAAGAATGTTTCGTTCGAATATTTTTTGATGAAAAAAAATTACGTTTTTATCTTCCACAAACAATTGAACAATCATTTGCTGAAATTGAATTTCAAACATGGTATCAATGTACAAAATTTAATCTTCAACAATATGATCAATATTCAAAAATTCATACATTTAAAATTTATGAAGCTAATTATCGTGAAATTCCACAAGTTCGAATTGATCGTTTAGTAACATTACCAGAAAAATTATTACGAAAATTTACACGACCAAATAAAACTCAACAAGTTTTATTAGATCATGCAAATTGTGTTCAACAAGAAGTTGTTAAATTTGGTCAATTAAATTATATTTATTTAAAACAATTTTCAATTATATTAGATGATTTATTTTGGACAATGCCTGTTACACGTAGTCGATTACAAAAACATTTAAAAGAAGAAATAACTGTCAAGATTTTAGATGAATATTATGCACATATTGATAAATATCATCATATATGTAAACAGAAATCACGTACACGTTTATTTCTATTAGCTTTTTTAAATGGTACAGAACCAATTGTTGAAATTGGTATGAACGATTGGTTTCGTCATGGTAAAGAAGTTAATAAACGTAATGAAATAATTATTAATAAAACATTACAAGAATATTGGATTAAACCTGAACAAGTTGAATTAGCATCAATTATTGATTCAAATGAATATGAAAGTACGCATTTACTTAAATTAATACCACCTGATAGTCAAAAAATTGAAATAATGCGTTTTCGTACAAGACCTAAACAAAATATTGAATTACCATTAAAAGTAAAAAAAAAGAAAAAAGATTTTATATTCATAAATAAATTTTTTTTTTCTAAAATAGGTTTATTGTTTTATGTCGGTTATTAATCGTCAAATAAATATACGAATTGAAATAACTGTATCAAATGCTTTTAATATAAGTATTTTATCAAAAGCATCATCCATGGCAACTAATGATAAAACAGCAAATATACGAGATGATAATAGTGATGAACAATGTCCATGTGAAAATATTCAAATACGTTTTCCAATACCTGATCCATGGGTTTATATGTTTCGAGTTGAAAAACGTTTTCGTTATGGAGCTATACATAGTGTTCGTCGTAAAGCAGGAAAAATAAAGGTAATTGTATGAAAAATATTCTTTATATAAATTTAAATTGTAATTTTTAGGGTCTTGATCGTTTGATGATTCATCGTAATGATGGCGCTACACCTTTTATGGCTGCATCAGCTGGTATAGCTAAATATGAACAAGCTTTTCGTGCAATTGTTTGGCGTGTTGATCAATTACCAAAACGAGATCAAGGCGCTTATAAAACTCATCTATTTGAATGTAAATTTTCAATACCATCTCATGATCCTGTACCTGAAAAATATGAACCAATTGCTGATGTTGAATATTCTATGTCACAAGCATTTGTTTCACATTGTCAGGTAAATTAATTTTGTATTTACTATTTATAATTCTTTAAGATTTTTTATTTATAGATTCGTTCAGTTGCTGTACCAAGTGCTGAAGAAACACCTGAAAAATGGATACGTCCTAAAAGTCAATTTACTTATACAACTGACATTGAATATGCATTTAAAGAAGAAGAAAAAAAAGAATTTGCACCTATTGAAATCGATATGAAAGAACAAATAATGTCACAAAGTGAAACAGAAAATAATTCACAATCAGATGATAGTGATTAAAAAAGAAGACATCGATTGATTTAAATTAAACTTAACAAATATTATTTGCTATGCAAAATACATACTGTTGTCAAACCCAAATCTTCTTTTTTTTCCTTTCATGTGATATTTTTTCATCTTTACCTGCTTATTGTATTCTAGTGTACCTTATATTAAGTATGTTTTTTGTATTTTGATCGGTGTATTATATGTCTTTTGTTTGTTTTTGATGTCTATTAAATAAATAAATAAATAAATCTTCATTTTAATTTCAGATAGTTAAAATAATAATAAAATGACTGTTAATGGTAGTACACGTTCATTAAGACAACATGTTCAACGTTCACTTGGTGATGATTTTATTGAACCACCTTCTGTTATGTCAGTAATAGGAAATGAGAACGATGATGATGATGGAACTGAAGATTTTCATCCCAGAGGTGCTTCATCAAAAGCACGGACACGTGGAACTGGAAGACAAGGACGAGTGGGAAGAAAACCAAATACAACTATAAATCAAGTTGATGATGATTCAATGGAAACGAGTTCTGTCATAGCAAGAAATAATACAACATTTGCCGGTCAACAATCCGAAGAAAAAGGATATTTTCATCATTTATTAACTGGAAAAACAAATATACAAGTATTAGTTGATCAATGGATTGATTCTTATCAAGCAAATCGTGATGAAGCATTAATTGAATTAATGCAATTTTTCTTAGATAGTAGTGGTTGTAAAGGAAAATTAACACAAACAATGTATTTAAAAATGGAACATATTGATATGTTACGAACCATGACTGAACATTTTGATGAGGTAAAATTTCTTGTTTCTTACTAAGTATTCACTCATTACTTACGCTAAGAGAAATATTATTGATACATGATTATGATAAGCAAGCAGTTATATCATGCATAGATCTTAATATTTATTGAAATTTATAAGTATTCATCTGAATCGGAAAAGTATTTATGTTAGAAATTTGTAACTATAATCCTATTCTAATAACTACCATTCAAATGAACACTCGTGAAATTCAATGAACATTAAGATTTGTCGGTTGTTCTTATAAAAATTCATATATACTTGACTATTGTTATGTCTCTAACTAATATTGAAAGTCTTTGTAAATTTGATCATCATACACTCTCAAACTATAAGAATACTTCAGAATATCAATGACATGTTTTAGCATGAATAGTGAGTAAGTTCTAATGAATTCTATGTCTACTGTTTAACTTTGCTATATATACTTCTTATCTATTTATAAATTCAATATAAAAGCTATCACGATAGGAGACTATTTCAGAGGTATTCATCATGGAATAAATCTATTAGTAGTATGCCACTAATGCGGCACCATTTTGTTCTCGTAGAAGCACCAGGGACATCATCGTTGTGATTATTACTAGGTCATATATAGATTGAATAGAATTATTTATACTAGATAAAATTTATATAAAATCAAGGATAACCTTTAATTATTAATAATACTTCATTTTAGGATACATCTGAATATCCAATAATAATGTCTGGTTTACAATATAAAAAATTTCGTTCATCATTCAGTGAATTTGTTGTATTATTAATTAAACAATCATCCTATTTAATTATATATGATCAATATATGATTGATAATCTTGTAACATTATTAACTGCTCTATCTGATTCACCTGTTCGTGCTTTTCGTCATACAGGAACTCTAGCTGGTAAAATAAAATTCTTGTCTATTATACGAAAGAAAATAAATTTTATTGTTATTTTAGTTTTAAAAGTTATGACAGCTCTTGTTGATATTGCATTAACAATAAGTATACAAAAAGATCAATGTCAAAGACAATATGAAGCTGAAAGACAAAAATCAAGTGCAAGACGAGCAGCTGATCGACTTGATACTTTAACAACTAAACGAAAAGAGGTTTAATTTTAAGAAATATTTCTTTTTTTTTATAATATTTCTATTCAATTTTTTTTAGCTTGAAGGAAATGAAAATGAAATTAAAAGCTTCATGAATTTTATATTCAAAGGCGTTTTTATTCACCGTTATCGGTATGAATAAATCATTAAAAAAAAACAAAAAGAAAAATTCGATTTTTTATATTTTATTTAGAGATGTGGTACCGGATATCCGTTGTTTATGTATGAGTGAACTTGGTGAATGGATGAAAAGTTATCCGACAGTTTTTCTTGATGATATTTATCTTAAATATATTGGTTGGACTTTATACGATAAAGTAATAAAATAAATCAATTATTTAACTAAACCATAATTTATATTTAGGTTAAAGATTGTCGTTTACGTTGTTTACTTGCATTAATACCTTTATTTCAAACAACAGATCTTGTTGGTAAACTTGAATTATTTATTAATAGATTCAAAGTAAAAGATTTTTTAAAGGAAAAAAAATATTTCTAAGATATTCGTTTTATTTTCTAGGATCGTGTTGTACAAATGACGGTTGATTGTGAATATGAAGTAGCCGTACAAGCAATTAAACTTTTAACTGCTATATTAAAGTAATTTAAATATCAAGTTATAAATATTTATTTGTTTATTTTTTTCATATAGATTTAATGATCGAATACTTGAAGATAAAGATTGTGAAAATATTTATGAACTTGTTTATCATTCACATCGACAAATAGCACAAGCTGCTGGAGAATTTCTTAATCAAAAATTATTTCATAAAGCTGAACAACCATTAAATACAACAAAAAAACGTAGTCAAAATACAGCTTTTATGTATTTACTTGTACAATTTTTTATTGAAAGTGAAGTATGTTTAATAATTATTTGTTTATATAAAATACGATATTTATATATTTATTTCTTTAGCTTCATGAACATGCAACTTATTTAGTTGACTCAATGTGGGATCAACATCCAATGATGAAAGATTGGGAATGTATGACAGATATATTACTTGAAGCATCTGATCAAGATGATGATCGTATGTTATATATTAAGAGAAAAAATATTTTTTTATTTGAATAAAATTTATATTTTAGCTCTTGATGATCAACATGAAAATTGTTTAATTGAAATCATGGTTTGTTGTGTACGTGAAGCTGCAACAGGTGAATATCCAATAGGTCGTGGACAACCAAATCGAAAAGTATATAGTCATAAAAAACAAAGATTTTCTATAATTATTTTACTTTTTCTTTAAAGTTAACAATGAAAGAACAAAAACAAAAAGATGATGATAAAAAAATTTTAACCGATCATTTTATCGGCAGTTTACCAGCATTACTTAATAAAGTAAAAATTATTGTTTTTTCGAAATACGTTATCTCATATTATTCAATAAATTTTTAGTATATTGCTGATGCTGATAAATTACTTAATTTATTACAAATTCCACTTCATTTTAATTATGAAACGTATACAACAGCAAGACGTGAACGTGATCTTGATAGTTATTTAAATGTATTAAGCGATATTGTACAACGTCATACAACAGCTGATGTTTGTTTTTATTTATTTTTTTTGATATCTTATTTTTTTTATATGATTTCAATAGGTTTTTGATTCGGTTTCGAAATGTTTCGAATGTGTATGTGATGTTAATTTTACATTATCGAATCGAGCTATTGCACATCGTGGAAATATTATGGATAAAATTTTAGCAAATTTTAATGCAGCTATGAGTATTTTCGAAGAAATGGTAAATAAAATAATGTTTTTTTAAAGAAATTATTTATTTTGAATGTTTAAGGATGAAGCCGATGAAGATGATTTATATCCATTATTACTTAATTTAAGAAAATTAGATGCTTTTCATCAGTAAAGATTATTTTATTATTATTATTATTTAATGTTATCTTTTTCGTTTTTCTATTAAAGATGCCATGATCTAGGAAATGTTGATTTATGGGATAAAATACATTTATTATTCAAAGCAGCAATTGATAATGAAGATATGTCACCAGAAGTTTGTTTTAGTGAATATTAATTATATTTAAATGTTTTATTTATTTTTATATAGATTGTTGATAAATGTTTTGGTATTGCTAATCGTAGTTTACTTTGGGGATTGTATCAACTCGATATACAATTTGATAAAGTAAATATGACATAATTTTTCCTTGGGAAGAGATAATTTATTCTTTTATTTAATGTTATATACTACAAAAATTCGTTTGTCTAAGCTTTTTTCATGATGAACTTTAATTGAAAGTAAATAAGCTTTTGATTATTCTTTTGTCTGCAGATGATAATAATAGAGTCATGATCCATTGCCAATTATAATGTCTTTGATAGGATGAAACTAATCTTTGACAAATCTCTATAATAATTAATGATAAAATTGCGTGTCTCACTATTCTCATTATTGAGTGACTGACGTATAGAAATAGATCATAACTTTAAAAATATTATAATAATTGAAATGATCACGGACGAATTGACGGATATCCTTTAATAAATGTCAAATTTTTGCATTTAATATTTTATAACTGATAGCATGTCATACGTGAAAATCTGGAATATTAAAGTCCTTGTTGTCAAAAGATTATTTGCTTTTATTCATATATCAATCAAGTGTTCGTTAATTTATCCTAATAAATCATTGTGAATATCTAATATTTTTCGTATTTCGTTGATAAATAAAGTCATCATTAAATAAGTGTCTATCTTCCGCTTTCATATATAGACGAAAAAATCAAAGCGTACGAATATTAGAATTATTCGATAATCATATATTCTTTTAATATAAAATTTATTGTTATATCTTAGTTAATCATATTTTATGCATTGAATTAGAAAAGTATAAACTCTGATTGATATCTAAATTTAACTTTAAATTTAAAGGGTAGTAGGTTAATTAGAATCACAGAACTGACATTTTATTCCAAGAATAACTAACAAATAGCAAAGATCATGATCTTTTATTTGATTATATATTAAAAAAAACATTTGAAATATTAATGAATAAAAAACGCGAACTTACAACTCTTTAAATAGAGTATAATTTAATTGATTTATAAGACTAGTAAATTGAGTTAAATCCGAAATAT